GTAACAGCACAGGGGCAGCAGAAACTGAGCGGATGAGAGCTACAAAGACAAGCTGGTTGTCACTGTTAGCCACCAAGGCCTCCGGTGTTACTTACCAAAGTCAATCTTGGTGGTGCTTTCTGAGCTGACATAGGGCTCTGTTTCTCAAAATCTGATGAAAGCACAAGTCAGGGACTGCAGCTCTGGAGTGCAAACCTTTGGGCAGCCTCACTCCTTGCTCTTCAAACCCTCTCCATAGCTGGTGGGGAGTTCTGACCACCCTTCCAGACTCTCAGACATTACTCGAAGTTGCTCTTAGACAGGGGGTGCAGGGAGAACTTCTCAGTGGTCTGGGCCCTCAGGAAAGCCAAGCCGCATCTTTCTTGTGTTATGCCACATGCCCTGATCTCCACCCTCAGCCAAATCAAAGTATGGTTTGTCTGTATCAGAGAGACCTTGAGAGGTTCCTACTGGCAGAGGCTCATGGGAAAACACAGTGACCCTGAGAAGCCTGGACGTGCCTCTGGTACCACATGGGAAGCTCATGTATCTCCTGTTTTGTAGGCTTCAAGGTCCCTGGGACACCAGAGCCCTCATGTAAGATTTCTCTATAGCTCTGCCTGTTATCTGGGAACTTGTAATCCTGCCTTTCTCCTCTACCCAAAGAGTTCCACATTCCTTCCCAAACAGGACACACACAGACATGGGCTGGAGGCCTTGGACACTGAATGTGAGCCATCAGCATCCTTGATGTCCCGCTAGGACATCTGTGCTCCACAGAGACCCTCCTGCCTTTCTTGTTTCCTTCTTTTGAAACTGAGTATGGCCCAATCAAAGGCTTAACCCCCATATTTTCCTCTTTCTCCCCAGTTCTCACTATCCCCCACCCAGGAGCACACAGAACATCTGAGCAGCACATTTGCATCCACCTGGAAGTCAAGTGCAGTGGGGAGGAAGATCTAGAGCTCTCAGTAACACAGCAGATATCGTGTGATAGGAACAGAAAGTGTCCACATGGAAAGGGACAAAAACACAGACAGGTCTCACTCTTCATCCCTCATGCAGAAATCTTCTCCCTGAGCAAGCAGAGCTTTAATCCGATGGGAAACTGCGGTCAGTCTATGGAAGTTTCACCCACCAAGTGTGAAGAATTGGGACTAAAATTCCACCCACATGGACCTCAGAATACTGATGGAATTTCAGAACCACGCAAAAAAGGAGACAAGAAACCTTATCTCTTGCCAGCACCTTTCCTTCAACTCACTTTTGGGTTCAAGTACAGTGGAGGAAGGAATCTTATTTAGCTCTGGAAATACACAGCCAGATTTAGGCCGAGGTTCTCTTGGGAGTAGGAAGGACAGGGGGTGGTCACACTAGGATTTCTAAAGGCAAAATACAGAACCAGAGCTATCCAAGGAAACTAGAGGTTGCAAGCGGATCCGCCCGTATCAACCAGCATTAGAGCTGGGAGAGGGGGCTCCAGGCCCCTGCTGGAGAGTCCAGATGCAAACCAGGCTCCCCATCCCTCCCCCACCTCCTGGCTGTCTCCTCATCCCCTCCATTGTCACGCTAAGGGTCTTCCCTCACTCCTTCCCAGAGAAGTGTCCGAGCGGCCAGCGTCACCTCACCCTCCCTCATTTTGCACTTGCTTTCAGAGTCATGCTGGTAGCAGTGTCTAGCTGAAGCACAAGAGTCAGCAAACCATGAAGGAACAAAGGCTCCAGCTCTTTGCCTAATCCATGTCTGGCTCGGTTCAGAAAGCTGCACAACAATGGAGTCGTCCTGCATTGATCTGCCCGCTCCTGTGCTTTCTCTGTGCATCGAGCCCTCTCTTGCTGCCTTGCTATTGTATCAGAGACGCTTGATCCTTCTCACTCTCCGGCTTGACCTGCGGGAACTGGGCCGAGCCAGGGGAAGCATCACAGCCGGGTACTGGGCTATGGTCACACTGGTGGCTGGGGAGGTGGAGGTGAGGATGCGGCTGCTGGAGCTTGGCTGCAGAAAGGAATTCCCACACCATAGGAGAGAAGCAGGGAGGCCACAGGCTGGCTTCTTGGCTTCCAAACAGAACCTGCTTAGAATCAGTTCTTTTCTTGGGTGAGGATCACATGGCTGAGCTTCAACACACCACGAGGTCTTTGAGGTGGGGTGAAGAAAGGTCAAACGGGGGCAGGTAGTCAGGCAAGGATCTTTCTTCCACTCCCTTCTTGTCTAGAGCTGCTCACACTTGTCCAGAACTGGGCAGCTAAACCTAAGGATCAGGTTGGTCTCATCCAACAAATCCTCCCCATTATCAGAGATGCCCTTACTGTCTGTTTGGGAATCTCACAACTGCAAATCAGGCGATTAATCTTAGATCCAAGACCAACCACACTTTCCAGCATCCAGGATCACAGATGCTAGAAGAGTGAGGAAAGAACATTGAAGGTGTCTTTTCTAGAGTCTTAAAATCACCCTGTACAGGTGGTTCCAGAAGGAAGTCAGGAATAGAGCCTAGCCCTGAAGACCTCTGAAAGTCTTCTTTGTCTCAGGAGTGGTAGGTGGGGGACTATGATTGTGAAGCCCCCAGGCTGCAGCCTTCCAGAAGCAGAAGACAGGCTGCTTGATGGGATAGCAGAGTGGCTGGGAGCACACTGAGGTCAGGTGGGCCCTGTGTCAGTCCTGGTTCTGACCGTTTCAAGCTGTGACAACCCAAGCTAGCTATTGAATCCTTCTGAGCCCCAGATTCCTTGTGGGTAAAGTGTGACTGGCTCTGCATAGGCGCTTCCAAAATGACATAATAATTATTGTTAATGTTCCACAGTGAGTCCATGCTTGGGAGCTTGGCAACCAGTTCCAGAATCTGGCCACATAATGCTAGTGAAAGACTCACAACCTCTCCAAAGCACATCCCTGGAAGGCACGGTGACCGATTTCACCCTGTCCTGCAAGATCTTAAGGATGCAGTTGAGCTTCTTACTCCCAAGCTTCAGAACCAGCACTTCAACCACGCCTCCAGAATGAAGATCCAGAGCACACCTGGCAAGCACATGGGCTCACAGACTGTGTTAGCTGTGAGCTTCTGCAGCAAAACCCCACAGGACCAACATGTAAGCACAGGTCCAGGAAAGCCAGTGCAAAATCCTGTCAGTGAGCTTCAAACCCAGAATGTCAGGGAGCTACAGGTATGACTGACCCTGGCAGCCTCCATGAACTGAAGCCAGTCCAAGTGGCATCCTTTCTGGGCTGAGTTCAGCTCTCCAGGTCTGCTCTGAGCCAGCTCTAACTGCCTTTCAGGCTCAAACACTGGGGCCAATGCCACAGTATGTCAGTACCTAGCAGGAAAACGTGGAATGCGGAGGCCTAGAGACTGAAAATTGTTCCTTTCTGTGCTTGCCTCTTACCCATCATGGTCTCTTCTGCCGCTATTTCAGACCTTCTCTATGTTTTTCAGATCTTCTCACTCCAGCACAGAGCCTTGTCTTACACTTTATAGACAAAATAGAAGCCACCAGATAAGCACTCCCTCGCTTTCTTGCCCCCAAACCTCTAAATGATCCTTCATCCTCCATCCTTTCCTCTTGCCTCCTGCTACTTCAGAAGAGCTCTACCCCCATGTGGCTAATGCTAACTCCTCCTCCTGAGCCTTGGATTCTTGTCCTTGTCGTCGTCTCAGGGGCTATTCCTATATACCCATTATCTTTTCTCCCATGCACTGACAGGCTCTTTTGATTGGAACAAAGCAAAGCTTAAATCTTTCCCCTACTAAAAATAAAAGTACTCCCTTAAATCTGTGCATCCTCCCATGGTCCCAAGGATAGTCTCGCCCCTTGGGGCCTCCCTATTCCCACCCTGACTCTTCAAAGCCATTCAGAACAGGAAAATGCAAAGCTGGGGTAACCCCTGACCCAGGCCACTCTACAGGACTGGAGCTTCCATTTGGGGTAGGGAGGACTCCAACCAAATTAGGCTTAAATAAGAGATAAAGTAAAAGAGGGTAAGTAGAAAAGCACCAGCTTAGCTTGATCAGTCCCCTGTTAGACTTCCAATGTGAGCTCACCCACGTTACCTTACTTGTCTCATCTCTACTTCCCAGGTGACCAAGCTCCAGCAAGGTCTGCTGAGGCCCAGCGAGGTCCAAATCCACCCAGGAACCTCCCCCGTCCCTCGTTCTCCACTTTTGCTCCATGTCTCCTGCATACAGAGCCTCATACAGTGTCTCTTCCTTTTAAAAGGGAGAGATTGTAGGTTACAGAAGGCATTTCAACCCTTCTAGCTGTGTCAGGGCCCAGGTCCAAGGGCAGAGAGGCGTGCCAGCTCATCTAAGCATTTTACTCTCAGTAGGATCCTGGGACTCTTTTGCCTCCTCTTTCTGGCAGCCCACACAAGAATTCCATAAAACTTATGCCCATCTGAGTGTGTATGTGATGTGGGGGGGGGAGTCTCTGAATGATCAGTATGTTGACCTGTAAGCCCAGAGCCCCATCTTTCTCTGGGCAAGGTCACATCTCCAAGATTCACAGGGAAGATACACAACCACTTCATCCTAGGGAGAATCCCACTGGCTTGCTGGTACACCAAAGATAAAGGATCCCCTAATCCCACTCTCAGATCCCCTTACACATCAGCTTTCAAGAGATCTCTGTGAGCCTTGGCTGCCCAGACAATAGACTAGTCCCCCAGTCACCAAGGGAATGAGGGCCTTTATGGCCCAAGTAGTGTCTGTAGGAGTCAGATTTTAATCTTGCTTCTGTCTCTCATGCTGTGTGACGCTGGGTGAACCATTCAACCTCTCTGAGCCTCTAAGTCCTACTCAATAAGATGAGGAAACATTTCACTGTATGAACCTGACCTATCTGGAGGTGTCTTAATGAAAACCACTAATGGAACAGATTGTAAACACCTTTGCAAATATAATTGAGCTAAGAAACTTCTTTAAAAGAGTAACAGTGAAACAGGAAAAAAAAAATGTGGGTAGCCTGGAATTTCTATATCTTTAATATTCTTTGTAAAATTTCCAAATAAGAGGTCTGATCCAGTGATTTCATTAGAAAATAAAGTGTTTATTAAGAAACTATACACTGAACACTCCTATAAGTCTCTGTGGAAACACAACGCCCCATTGTCATAGTACAAGGTGAGGAAAATGGCAGAATAAAAGATGCTGGGATGGATGGAACCTGGGAGGCTGGAAATGAGGTAATGATTTACAATAATAAAAACATCATCCTCAAGCTTACTCCTTAAAGCCACACTTGGGAGGAGGCCCTGGACTGAAAGGTCAGCAGGACACAATGCGGAACAGCCTGACGTGGAGCAATGGGGAGCCGGAGGAGGGAAGCTGGAAGGGGTGAGACAAACACACACCTTGAGGCCCTGGAGAGACCCTGAATCCCCAGGTGTTACTCTGGAAACTCAGGCGACTGGGATGCCACCCCAGATACTGGGCAAGAACTTGGAAAGCTCAGTGTTTTTAAACCCCATGGAGGCATCTGCAGAATCAGGCTGGGAACCTGACATGAAGAACCACCATCCGAACAACCCAGGAAGTAAAACCCTTACATGGGAATCTTAATTCCCAGGTAATTTCACCAAAAGCATGGACTCTAGTCTCTATTGCTGCACAACACCACACCAAAATGGACTGGGTCAAACAGCAGCCACTCTATCCCAAGGGCTCCCTGGGAAGCTCCCTGTTCCACACTCTCTGCCATCAAGTGGGCAGCCTATGCCAGCTTCACATGCAGAAGACCCATGGGTGGGGGAGCTAGACCGAGCCAGAGGTCCACTCAGCCAACGTGTCAGCAAATCTGGGAGAGCTTTAAACCCTACAACTGTGCCTTTCCTATAGAAGCAAGTGAAAGTCATCCCCTTCCCTCTCCCCAGTAGGTCAAGTTGAAAATGGGGGAAACAAACCCCCTCTTTGGGGAGGGTGGCTATGGAGTAAGGCATGAGTCAAAGCAAACGAAGTAAACAAATGTGTGGACCAGAGAACAGGAGGACACTTCCACTGGTGCCATGACAGGGGCTGGAGGCGGCCAATTTTTACTTCTCTTCCCCTTCGGTTCATCTTGACCTTGAAATGGTGATTCCATTGGGTTCCAAAAGTTCTCAGAGTCAAGAGTAAGTGGAAGTAGGGGAAGAGAGCCAATCCCGGGATCATGGACCAGCAGAAAGAGCCTTGTTCCCTGATTCCCTTGGTCCCTTGTGGTCCTAGTAGGATGGCCAATTCACAGGCAAGAGCTCCTGCAGCCAAAGCTTGTTGGAACTTCAGATCTAGGGGCCAAGGAGTTTTCTAATATCGCACTCACTGTGAGCTGTTCCAGAGAGAAGCAGATGTAGGGGGGCAAGTGTGTCCAAAAAAGTAAAATTTTCTCCACCAAAAAAAAAAAAAAAAAAAAAAAGGAAAGTGATTGGTTTCCATTCTTCCCTCTGAGACCTAATCGGGTGCCAATACATGGGCCTGGGATCCCTTCCTCTTAGTACGCCGTCTCCACCTCTGCTTAGGTGCTCTCTGTGACTCTTTCCCACTGGAGGCTGCAGGGCGATGAGGTCACTAAGAGGACAGCACGGTATCCTAGGGAGAGCCAGGGTGACCCCACACTTCCAAGCAGAGAAAGTGAGGCTGGAGCGTGGCTGGACTTCATCAGGCTTTCTCGTGGTAGCTGGGTTGTTTTTGTAAAGCAAGAGAATGACTAGTGTGTTTAAAAGATGGCTCCTGGTGCACAGGTTTCCAATTCTCTTTATTGGCTCTAAAGATGGTGGCAGGAGCTGCCTCGTAGGCCGGGGTTAAAAAAAGGAGCACAGTGATGATTGGAGGGAAGGGGCAGCCCTGCCAGTGGTGGATGGGGAGCAACACCCGTCTTGGTCTTGTTAAAGGGTGCAGGGGCACCGGTGGCTCATGCACTTTCTACTTAGCATCCCTGGATCCGAAAAGAACGAGGCCTAGAGCTTCCAACCTCTCAGAGGGCCCAGCCTACCAAGGTGACATCAAAACAAGGAGGCTTAAAAGGAGTTTTTAAAAGCCATGACGTCCTTTGCTGAAATAAACATTGACATCCTCAACATAGATGCCATGGTTAAGAGGCTTGGAATGTCCGGGAAGGCTTATTGGATTCAACATAATTTCTCTGAAACCTATAAAAAAACAAAAAGAAAAAAAAAGAAAAAACAAAAGCAGAAAAACAGAAAAAGCAAAATAAAGTAAAAACCAAAACCCCCAAAGAAGATCAAAACTAGGAGGGGAAACAGAGAGGGAGCTTGACGGGAAGAACTGGCGATAAGGGTACAGATACGTATTGGAAATAGCCAAATGAATTCTCAGCAAAAGGGAAGGATAGGAGGGGGGGTTAACTTAAAACCAAGCATGGTCGGAGAAATTGGAAACACTCCATTTTGCTGCAGCCTCCACTGAACCGAGGAAGGGAAATGAGCAGAACATTAGGGGGCCTGGCCTTGGATTATCATGAGGAGGAGGAGCAGCCTCGTCTAAGCGGGTCTTGGTCTAAAACCATCTTTCTGGAAGGAGGAGACTCTGCTGATGAGCTTATGGGTAGGTGGGAGAAGGGGTGTGTACGCTAGGGTCACCAGAGGATTAAGGGGTGGGAGGAGAAGGCCGTGCTTTCCCAGGACTTCCCTTCTTCAGAGATACCGGAGGGGCATTTCTAATTCTAGGAGCTAAAATTCCATAGACTACTTTTGAACACACTGGGAGGTGGGGGTGCTACGCTTCCAAGTCTACAAGCTCCTTCTCTGTTTTGCCTCATTGCACCAGGTCAGTGGAAGCTTTAGGAAATGATGACCGATCGCTCATTCTTCCCATAATTCCAAGTCTTATTGGGGTGGAAATACCCTGGAGGAGTAACAGTGGTGGCCACTAGGCCAGGGCCAACTCAAGCCAGGAGGACTTCCAGGACAGCTCAGTGCCTTTCTGGACACACAATCATGGACTCAGTTAGGATGTCCAGAGATGTGGGTGTTCCTGATCGAATCTCTAGAAAGAAGTTGCTCAATCAACCCCAGATTGAAAAAATTATAGTGTATATGTTTCTGCATGTCTGTGTGCGTGTGTGTGTGTGTGTACAGACATGTGAACAGAGCAAGCCTGTCTTTTCCTGGAAGCTGTGTGCAGGCATGCACGTGGCATAGTGGGTGGCTGGATGTTGGGTATGAGGGGCAGAGATTAAAAACAGCATTTGGGGCCGGCCCGGTGGCGCACTGCTACAGTGCGCCGCTTGGGAAGTGCGGTGGCGCTCCCGCCAAGGGTTCGGATCCCACATACAGACCGGCCGCTCACTGGCTGAGTGAGGTGCGGGAGCAACACCAAGGGTTGCGATCCTGTTGCCGGTCCCGGTCCGGTACGGGCGCGACACTGAGGGTTGCGATCCGTTGCCAGTCACAAAAAAAGACAAAAAAAGGGAAAAAAAAAAAACAGCATTTGATTGCATGGAGACTTTCTACTCCTCCTGCCCAGGACATTATGGTCAAAATTGCTGAGTTATTTGGGGTGTTGGGACCCTCCCTCTGCAGGGGTTGGGGTCAGATTTGTGTGGACAGAGGAAACCTTCCATGTCTATCACATCATGTTTAGAGGAAGGCTCAGTTTCAAAATGAGATGTTTCTGAGACAATGCTTTCTTGGATCTGAGCGGGGAGGGAAGGAAGGCCATTGATCTGGGCAGACTGCTGAGAAGGCTGGTGACACCACTGTTTCTCTCCAGGGAATGGTTCCCTGTGGCTCACTCCCCTGGATGTGACTCCTGTAACCTAAGGTATTTCAGTACCAATCCCACACTGGGCACCTAGGCAGACCCCAGTCCTCTGCGACATGTGGAGGTCTGATGAATCTTAAGGGCTTAAGAATCAAAACTGGTAGGGGGAGGGGTCTTTACTGCATACAAAGATGTCAAAGGAAGTAACTCACCATGTGACCTTGGATAAGACACATCCCCACTCTGGACCTCAGGCTCCTCATATATATAGTGAGTTGATGGGACTAGATGATCTCTATTGTCCTTCAAGTTTAATATCCCATGATTGTCTAGGTTTGAAAAGACCCCTGGCAGAAGAGGCAGACATGGGGAATTAATGGTCAGTACTGAGCCCCAAGTGCAAAAACATGGGGAAGTATTCTTCTTCAGTTCACAATGCTAGAAACAGAAATCCAGGTCTTCCCAGCTCCTGTACCCACATTGCTTTACCTGTAGGGGAACTTCGTTTATTTTATGCTTAAAATCTAGATTCACTATTCTCTGAGTATCGCACAGTGACGTTATACAATAGGTACAAGTTGGAGACAGGGAAGAAAGATTTGCCATCACCCTCTGTCCAACCCTTTTCCTAACATGCTTGCTGCCCTTTCCCCTTCTTGGGCCAGAACATCCCCAAATTGTGTGCCTGTCACTGCCATTCTGGTGCCATTCCGTGGCCTGGAAGGATGATTCTTGTGACTTGGGAGATGATCCTGCTGTACCTAAGATGCTCTTTCGTATCTCCCATAGAAGAAATTCAGCTTATCTCCAAGAGGGGAGCAATGTGACAAGGTGTGGGGGATGGATAATGAGCAGATGAGGGAGGGGGTTGGCTTCTTAGAAATCTTTCTTGCTTCTGTTAGGGCATAAACTGTTGGAACAACAAAAGCCGTTGGTTCACTGGAGACCTGAGGACTACAACCTCTATGAAAGAAATACCGTTATAGCTTCTGAGAGTGAAATCTTCTCTGGAGGCCATGCAGCATCCGTGAGCCCTGGAAGGCTCCATGTCGGATCCATTAAAGGCAGGAGCCAAGGCTGTCTAAGTCTCTGCCAAGGTCCCTGAAGCTGCCTTCATGAACATGAGCTTTTCCCATATGAGCTGGGATCTGAAGTTTGTTTTCTCTGGAACTCTTTCCCAGGTGGAGCCTTTCCAAGATTCTAAAAGCTGAAGCCTGATAGCGTAGGAGGCACTGCTCCAAAGTCCTCCATTCCTCCCCCTCTTCCTCAGAACAACCCCAGAGCAGGAGGGAAAAGGCTTTTACTGGGGAGAGTGCAGGGGAGACTAGGACCACAGTGGACACTGGGAAAGTGGTAGAGGGGTGGAGAGAAGGCAAAAGGGGGCAAATACACCTCCAAAGAAGGCTTTGCCCACCAGTGGCCCACGGACCCCTCATGCCTAACCTTTTTCTCCCTCTGTCAACAGCTTCCCCCAAAGCCATCCGGCACAAAGGCACTTGTAGGCCCTCTGTAATTCAGAACAGAGCCTGGTCTTCAGGGATTGTCTAAAGCATACGTTTCCTGAGAAGTGAGCCAGAGACTCTGGGATCATTTTGGGAAAGGGAGGGGAGTTGTAAAGGAAGTGGTAAGGGGAGAAGGGGCACTGAGCACCCATAGGATTGGATGAGAGGTTTGGAGCCCTTCCCACTGAGCCAAGAGCAGGTTAAATCTTCACAGCCAAGTTCTCCATGTTCACTGTAGCAAGAAACTGCCAGTTCCCATGGCTGTGCCACGCAAAAGGAGTCCTAGACTTCCGAACCTCTCTGCTTTTCTGACAATGGTGAAGACCCTAATCATCTCTCCCTCCCTGGGGTTTTACCCCTGCACTCCGGCCTTGGCATTCTAGAGCTACCAGCTTTCCAGCAGATGCCAGTGGGAAGAATTTCCCTCCACTCTCTTCATCTGACTTTGGATTCTCCTTCTGTCTCTGCTTCTTCCTTTTGTCACCTGACATGATAATTTTATTACCTAACTCCATACAGTGGCTTAGGTCCTGGCCTCAATAAAAGGCCCAATGCCCAATGGAACTCTAGTGGATTATTTTCAAACACTCTCTTTTCAAATGTATTTGTTTGTCATCTTAAAGTTGCTACATCACAGTAACACTTAGTACTTACACAGCATTGGCTGTGAGAAAAGCACTTTATACTCCAGCATGAGCTGCAATGCACAGCAGTCCTGGTGCTGAGGTCATGGGTGGCTTACTGATAGGGACCAGAGGCACAGAGCAGTTCAGGTGGGGGGCACCCCACCCCAGTTAGGGTACCATTCACGCCACAGCCTTCCCACCTTTCCCCAAGGGGTAAGATGAGGTGTCATGTTTGTGAACCATGCTGCAGGCAGGCATGGGATGAAGAAGGGAGCCTCAGACAATGCCCAGCTATAACAATCCTACCATCCCACGTTCCGCTGACCACCCTGGAATCCAAAGATCTATATGTCAGTGACAGGGCCAGGCACTGCTGATGGTTAACTCATTCTCCCCCAACATCCTTAAAAGGTTGATAGTATTAACTCCATTTTACAAGTGGAAAAACTGAACCTCAATATTAAAAAACAGCCCCAAGTTTACTTTGTGGCGAAGTCCAAATTTGAATCCAGTTCTTCATAACTCCAAAGTCCTTGTAATTTACTACTTTGCAATACGGCTCCTACTTGTTGGAAATCAATATTCAGGAAGAGGAGGTAAAATGGGGGTCAAGGGAGTAGTGGTAGGACATTCTCCAGGGGAAGCAGGAATATATGTCCGGCTCCTTCAGCAGGAACTGGACAGAGGGCGAGAGTTTTCCTTCCTCACTAACAACTTCCCCAGCTAGGGAGATAAGCAGCCCCACACCCTGCTGTTCATCTGCTCCAGCAGAGCCCCAGTCCAACTCTTTCCCAGGCTGCTTCATTTTCTGTACTCTCTAGTCTGTGGCACCTACCATCCTCACAATAATGCTTTGCAGGTAGTGGGACCTTCCAGGCAAGGAATCCCAAACTCTGTCTAGACATTGACTCTTTCGTTTTAATGTTATTTCTGGGAGTTCAGCATAGGAAGGATAAAAAACCCATAAACAAGAGATAGTAATGAGTCTGGAGAGATGAGCAATTATTCAGAACATAGCTTCACCCACAGCAAGGGTGTGGAATATCTGAGAATACCCCTGGGTAGCCAAGCATGGTGCCCAGAGAAACTCTCTCCCCAGCACCCTCCCCAAGGCCACAGTGTGAACAAGGGTGTACAGAAAACAGTACATTGTGGTGAAGAAAAACTCCCTCATAGACACATGCCTCTTGCTTCATTTTCTGCCTTTGTGGTGGCCCCTCCAAGGTCATGGGAGGGTGGTCACCAGGAAGTCCTAATGGTTCCCAGGATATAGTTATGATTGCTTTGTTCTGTACCTTTCCCTCTGGGTGTGACTATTGCTTTTCTGAATATAAGTTCTTCTCCTGCCATCAGATTCAATCAAAGGCTGTTGGCACAGGCTTAGGTGGGTGAGCCCCAAATGCCTAGTCTTGCAGGCCACCAACTAGGTTGCTTGAAACTCTCAGATCTTTTCTTCTATCATCCTGGGCTTGCTAACATAACCCACAAGCCATATGTGGCCCTAGGATGTGTCTTCTTTTATTTTTAGCACAATGGTATTTTTAAAAAATTTCTTTTTTTACTTAGTTGCCAACATTTAAAACTTGGGAGATTTCACATTTAAAATATCCCCATTTCTAGCTTCCTTTGAAAATGCAAGAGTTCTGGAAATGCCAACACTTCCATGTAGTGATAACAGGCTAGAGCAGAGTAGTGGCCACTCAACTTAGATAAGGTGTACGTTCTCCAGCTTGCCCTATTCCCCATCACTCCCTATTATCCTCCACCCCTTCACTTATTTACAATACCTGCATTGTAAACTGTAAATGGCTTGTCTTTGCATTTGAATTTAAAACTTTACAATAAACACCAGGTTCATTGTACTAGGTTATGGGCTGTGCATTAAAGACCATCTCAGCAAGCTTTGCTGACCTCCCCTATAATACCAAACTTATGCTCCCTCTGATCATGGTTAACAATTACAAAGAAGTGGCTCAAAGCCTGCAGCAGAGGAATAAACCTATGTCAGAAAAGGGGAGCTAGTTCGACAACTGAACTGTATGGGTAAGGGGGGCATTGTGTTCAAAACTCAGGTTCCCAACAAGACAACATGCTGGGGACCACTAAGAATGCTGCTGCTGGGAGAGAAGGTGGCACTCAAATCATCAGCTGGCTGTGCCTTCTACATTGCCTGATGTGCATAAGACACGTGACAAGAGGTCAGGGGATGACAACTAGCAGTACTTTTTAATATAGCTGTTATATTTACAGGGTATGGTTTGATCCAAAGTATGAGTATTCCTATATCCCTATAATAACAAACATGTTACAAAGGGTTCTACAGGATATTGAAATGTACTTGGAACCAAAACGTCCCAGTTGAATACTTTGTGGTTAAGAGTGTTGAACTGAGACCACCATCTTCAGTATGGGGCACCTCTTCTTGTAAAGTCACCTCAATACTGCTGGGAAAATGAGTGATGAGATTGCTCTAGCTCACTTGCCAGCACTTGCCAAGTCTGGTTCCAGCTGTGTGCAGATGCTCAGAGGGAGGGGCTGAGGCTGGATGTACCCCAGATATGATTTAGCTCATGAAATCATGCCCACAGGAAGTCACAGTGGGAGGGCGTCCATGCCTGGGTGAAATAAAAGACACTGAACACTGAAATGCTCAGACAAAAGCAAAAGGCTCGTCCCTGAAGGAATCTTGAAGGCTCACAGCTCATCCCTGACGTGTATTTCAAGACTCTCACTCTAAAGGGGAGGATGCACCAGGGGGCTCACCATTGGTGTCACTAAAGCTGTACCAAGGATAAGCTGATCTGGGCTTATAGAAGAGAAATGTGAGTCCCAGAGGAAGTGAAATCCTTTCCTCTCTATAACATGGGTGAAGTGAACTCTTAGAATCAAAATACTCCATAAGCCGTGGAGTAATATTAGTAATATGGAAAAACCTCTATCATTTTCAAAATTCACTATATAAGGCACAATTTGTAATAGCGGAGCATCTTTTCCTCTTGCTTAATTGAGAGGAGAGAGAACCTCAGGTATTAATAATACATTTTCATTCCTTTCCTTGCACTTCAAACTGTCTTTATATTCAGCATATTTTTTTCCTGTCTTGATTCTTTTAACTCTTTTCAAATGCTTGAAATATCTGAAATATCAGAAAAGTGTAGAAAATATCAAAACTCCATGCCCATCACCTAGCACCAACAATTTATAATATTGTAACATCTT